AACATATGGAAAGCCCTTCCCAGTCATGTAGAACCTAACCATAACCCTATAAACATATTGAGGACAGCAAGGGGTTCAAAGGTTTAATGTATTGTTGCATGCAAAATGTTCCCAGCTAGAACAAATGATCACAAGGCCGTGGCTGAGGGCTTGAGACTGAGGTTAGATCCAACTTCAGTAAATAGCACTCGGGTTGGCAGACGGGCCAACAGCGGTTGAGGCACGTTTCCAGATGTAAGCAGCACTGGGCGTGGATGCTAAGCAACTAGCTATTTTAGCGGCAGAGCGCAGGAAGGAAATGAAAGGAACAGAGTTCAGTGCGGGATTCAGAGCAGAAGAGAGAGTAATCAAACACCGCCGACCAATGGCAATCACAGCGCCCTGACACAATGGCTGCTCGCCTGCCGCTGGCTTAGTCTTATCACAACATACTCGCTGAGAGTGTGGGTGTGAGATGAATGAGTCGGGAGAGGAGGACAGTGAGAAAGAGGGGGATAGATGAATGGGGGGGAAGTGAGGAGGAAAGAAAAGTGGGGATTTCTGTGTTTCCTTCACATCGCAAATCCATCTGTTTCAAAGTCTGATCCATGTTTAGTAAACTGATTACATGCTGGGAGTCAGACAAAACTTCGGAAAACTCATACAAAAGAACATGCTTATGGTAGCTAAAATGACTACTTTATTATCACAGATTCAAGAAATTGAAATATATGATATGTGATATATGATATTTAATATGGGAGGCTCCTGTGGGGATTGCCCACAGTATTGAGTATGTAAGTCGCTTTGGATAAAAGCGTCTAACAAGTAACATGTAATAATAAAAAAAAATTGGAAGGGTTTACAAATCCAAACAGATTGCTGAAAATATGTCTGCTGTTTCCTAAAAAACAATGAGTGCACACTGAGTGACTAATTCCCATTCAGATGCAGTGCACAGATAACATCCATTCACCTTGACAGGGTTCTATCAAGCCAATGAGCGGGGCTTGGATGGCTGACACTTGGCGAGTCAGTCAGTCATGACTCCGGGGCTGTTTAGATGAGATAGAAAGTGAAGCGAGCAACACCGTCTGCATTTCAAACAAATGACGCCATTCCCGGTTAATGAAGACGCAAAGTCAGAAAGCTTCCTTCCTATTCGCCGCGCTCCAGTCACAGACGGGAAAATTACCAAACTGTTGATAGATGGTTAACAGGTGCGGGCTAATTATGCTAATCATGGCAACAGCCAAATAAACTGATTGCCATGTTCATTTAAATGACAGCAATGTTCCTTTGGTGGCTAATTAAAATAGGTCGGGATGAAGTAAACGAGGCGGCTGGGTTTTCGGTTTGGAGGGAGGGCGTTTAAATAAAAAGCCTTCTCTGGGGTCCACTGTAATAAGCTGTATTCCATTAGTTTAATGATGTCATAATGAATGTCTAATGACGGAGGATGGGTCAGGGGGCGAAGAGGAGAAGTGAGCAATATGTGCATTAAACTGTAAGGCTACGTTCTCCCCCTGCGTGAAGCGGCGGCGACGAGGGAGCCCTAGCTCATGTTGCGTGTGGCGCAGGCTAACCCTGGTTGAAATGAGCTGGGTAATGAAAATAAAGATCGGTAGAGGACATCGAGCATCGTATGTGCTGCATCTGTTTCGATAGTAGCCCCACTGGAAAGGGTAGGGGAAGGTTTTGAAGGGGAAATTACTTTTTTTCCTCAGCATTGGGCCCAGTTGGCCTCGGTCCCCATTTGCATGTGACCCGGAGAAAGGCATCATTAGACGAAGAGAAGGCGGTTCAAAGGCCAGGGGAGATGAACTCTGGGGGACCCTGACAGCCACCGTGCAGGTATGAAAAGTGGATAGGGGCTGATTAATGTTTATAGAGGCAGCTGCTGTCGAAACCCTCCACCTAACCTCGTCTCCCTGTAGTCCTTCGTTTTAATTCCCTTCGTCCAGAGGAGATTAAAAATCTACAGTGTAGGGTATGTCTCTGCAAACAGCCCGTTTGTTTCCAAAAGGACTGTGCCAGGGAAACAGGGAGAGGTCCACCTTTCCTTTCACTAATACAATGATACTCTTCCTTCTACCTTTATTCTATTTCCCTGTCTTCTTCTGCTACACTTTGATAACATGTTACAATTTGAATTGCTTAAACCAACGTTTGCCTAATCCAAATTTGGATTTCTAATCACAACGCCAGAAGAGAAACAGGTTTTGCTTGAGTGCTTTCCAATCTTGTCAGCATTGGAGGGATGGATCATACAAATTGCATCCGATGTGACTGAACTCTATGACTGCAACCTATGTTCATGCTAAAAGGTTAAGCGTAAGCTAAAGACAGAACAAGCTTAATCAAAATCTTCTCATTTTAACAGAACATCCTACAGAACTAGAAACAAATATTTGGAAATATTAAAGTTAGATCAATAGATTTGTTCTACAGTAGCTGTTGTTAATGGAAAACAATATTGATTTGTATACTTTATATGATGGGGTTTATAATAGCTCTCAGTCTGAAAGGATGCATCATTTTATTAAATTGTGCAAACAGTTCACAACCTGGATTTTAGTCTAACAAAACGTAAATTCTTTATCTAAGCGTTTCCACTTCTTCCTAAGTGTCAGGTGGAAAACAAAAGACAAAAGAATGATATGGAGAGAAAAGACGAATGATACTGTACTACGATGTATGCTTGAAGTTAGAATTCCTTTTGTTTGCAGTCGGATGTGCCAACAAAGAAACCTTTGTGTAAAGGTAACAAAAGAGGAAAGAGCACATCCAGGGATGAGATCCAACAAAAAAAAGAGACTTACTACTGCAGGTATAAAAAATAGCCCCCTTTTATCTTCCGTTTATTAGGCATTCTCATTATTTAAATGTATGCCACATTAGTAGGGATCTGCTCGATTCAATATATTATAATGTGATGTTTGGCCTTAATGGAAAATCAATGGCGAGACAAGCCCGCCACCGCTGCGACTATACAAAAGCAATTTCCAAATTGACATATGGAGGGCCTGTGTGATTGATTCTGACTGATGTTGGATTTTAATACCATTCAATGCGAGCTCATTGACTCTCAGACATCGTCTTGTGGTTTATCTACAAACTGCCAAATGAGTCCTTGTCTCCTTTTTCTTCTCCCTCATCTTTTCTTTCTCTGTCTTTCTTCTGCCTCTGTTCCCAGCCTGACACCGGGAGTGTGTGTGGACAAACAGACAAACATGACATACTGGCATCAGCTGCCCACATCTGTGTAATTACATCATGCTATCCCTACTGCTTGTTTTAACAGCTTACTAACCAAGAAAGAGTATAACCACTCTGTCTCTCACGCCAAACAACACACTCTGTCAAGGGGATTAGAAAGTAGAGAGAAACAATCCACTTTCAGGAGTTTAGGTCAACAGCAGGGTATGCAGATCATGGATTACCAGCCAATCCATCCCCTCCCCCCTCCTCTATCACCCGTGGGTTTCCACCTTTCATGTTCAGGAAAATGAAAATAAAATATGGTACAAGCAGCTGGCATCTTTCCCTGGGTTTGCAGCAGTTTTGGATTGATGTTGAAATTCCAGATTGTATTACCGACTTTAAATTGTACTTTGGACTTCATTCTTCCATAATTCAACGGTAATCCAGGTCTGGGTCAGTGACCCCTTTTCCAACAACTAAGAACTGGTTCTGTTACAGTTCACACACCTAGTTGTGTACTCTACGGAGCATTTCGACCAAATAAATGAGAACCTGAACACTTGGTTCTTAACCAATAAGGTTTTTTCTTGAACGTGACAGTTGCTGGTAATTACAAATAGAAAGAGGGGTCAGTGTCTTGCAATGAATAATCTAGTACTTCTTATAATCTGGTAGTTGGTTTTGGATTTAAACGAACATATTTAATTACATAACTACAGCTTGCAATATTACATTTGATATATTGTAAACACGGTGTACTTTCATTGTGCATTATGCAATGGCCTTCGTTGATGACGCAACCTTGGTTACGATTGTTTTGCTAGAAACAGGCAGAAAGGGAGATGGTTTTCTAGATAGCATTACGGTTCTAAGAATGCTGAAAGAACCAGTAAGAAACAGAGCTAATAAAAGGGTTAGGACATAGCAGACCAAGCATCCAGATGTTCCTGCCTCCATCTGCAACTCTTGCTCCTTATGGTGGATCCTTGGACTTCCCCGGGCCAGGTGGAATCTGTAATCCCTCCTGAGTTTTCTGGGTCAGGCAAAGCCAACTGGTGGTAAACATGCCAGCACATGTCCATGCTCTCAGGTCTGATGTTTAACCACCTTTTGATGCAAAAGACCAGCAGGTCTACTTGGATCTCTTTCTGGATGTCTGAACCCAACAAGCGCCAACTCAATTCAAGTCAGGAAAGAAGGGAAAAAATAGACCTAAAGAGCATTTAATAAATACAAATATCCACTTGATTACCCCATAAAACTCCACATAAACCTTAAATGATGTGCGAGTGAGTCAGCCATTGTTACTGCTGAGCCAACGCACACTCCCACACTGCATTCTTTTAGCATCAGCTTGTTAGAAAGCAGAGTGAAGTTCAACTCTACACACTCAGTGACATGAAATGAGATTGCTGACCCTGAAGTGTAACAGCATCCCTCCGCTCTGTATTGAAGTTAAAGTAACCGACAGATTTGACTTTGAGTCTTCAAACCAAAGCAAATTAACGGTGCATGTTGTGCTAAACTGTAGATGAACTCCCACAATCCTGTTCTCTTCCACAACACATGCACAGATTGTATCAGCCCACATGAGCGTGAACATAACATACGCCACATTTTAGCTTTCCATCTGACAGCAGAAGGACATCGCTCCTGCTGTAAATGGTGTAATGAGGGACACAAGCAGCGTCATGTCTCTGAGCGCACGGCGTAACTAGAATGTAGCCTCAGGGGCAGCCTCGTTTAGGAGCAGATCACAGTTCAACTGCAGAGCGTTTGGAGGCTGCCAAGAAGAGCGTCCATCAAATCTAACTCACCTTGCCGAAGTCCCTGACATCAAAGAGGTCGAACGGATCGAACAGCTCACTGTTACGCAGGCCGAACTTGTCGTGGCACACCTTGAGGAACGTCCGGATGTTCTTCAAACACAGGAACTACAAAAAAAGAAGGAAAAAACATGAATGTATGCTTAAAGGTAAACGTGCATAGACAATTAGAGCGGCATCATATTGGATTCATACCAGTGTGGTAACAGTATGATTAAACAAGCTGATTATTTGTTGGAAGAAACATGTTCCGCCAGTCTGTTTAATATCCCCCCATCAAGGTAGCAGGTTTCGGGTAAGTATTTAATTTCCTGGTTGATGATTGGCAGGCTCTCCTGGTGCATTAGAGACTATTCAGACACGGAAGGTGAGGCTGATTGCTGCTCCTGAGACCGATGGTCTGCCTCTCTGATCCAGATAAGGAGAGCCACAAGAGGAGCCTGTCTCCTGACATCAGACCACAGACAAGGCGTCCTAACGCAGGCCCACCAACAAAGAGCTGACCCTCGATAAAGCTGCTCTATTGGACTGTGACCTCACACTGAGAGGTCAGGGGTCACAATTCTGACAAACAACAACCATGAACATGTCTTTATGAAGAACACTAAGCTCTGGCATTTAGTGACCACCACTCTCTCTTTCTTAATCTCAATTCAAGACATTTCACCTCCTACATTTGCTATAGCTCTATTCTAGTTAATTGTATGTTTAACTGCACATTAATATACAGTATACAATTCTTAATTATATTATATTTTATCTAAATTGCAAATGTATCACGTATATTTAACTAGGTATCTTTATTCAATTGTTTTACATTTTTATTTCAAATGGCTCAACCATCACAGAAGCCAAATTCCAACCAATGATAAATAAAGTAATTTCATAATTAACTGTTTTAATTATCTTCTATCCTAATTCTTTAGAAATCCCTTATATTTGCGATCTACAAAAGTGAAAAGAATATGTCAAATTTGCCATTTAAGCAGTTCTACATGGACCTATAAACTAGAGCCTGACAGATACAATGGGGATGCCTCTTCATTGGCCAATGTTTTCGCTTTTTGCGGATTGTTATCTGCTTTTTCCACAATGGCTACTTTCCAGTCCTGCAAATAAAGCATCTGCCACCTTGAGACTGATAGTCAATATACAAAGGGAATGGTGGAGTTAACAGGGACTCCCCAGCGGCCATGAATAGCCATAATAAAGTGGATAATATATAATCTCTGGTCACGAATATGGACGCTCTGAAATATGCCATCACACAGATAAACCTGGAGGGGCCAATAACTGCACAGGAGTATTGAAATATTAATGATAAGCATAACTGCCTCCTATCTCACACTTTCCCTGTGTGTGAGGAACACATTACCTAGCATGTCAATCTGGATGCTGCTCAGATATGCCTTTCTGTTTCTCTGTGCGTGAGGGATATACAAACACGGAAGAAAAATGTAACACCAGGAAGAAGTTTGAGCGAGAAAGATTAAAGAACATAATTAATCTTTTCCTGTTCAGCTGGACAAACATTACGACAAATAACACATTAACCGGGTAATGGCTGTTGCATAAACCTAGTAAAGCAAGTCACACTTCACATTTAAGTATGGCTGGACAATTATTGAGTTTTATTTCTAATCACGATGTTGCCTTCCAAGTTAATCGAGAAAAAACTTTTACTGTTCTGCTTTTGGTTTCACAGTGATGCTCTTGTTTTGTCTCAGTAATATAAATCGAGCCATTCCTCTTTCCTTTACAGTGGTGAGCTTTTGCCCCTCCATTATAGCCCAAACGTTTTCTTACTCTTTATTAGGATCCCCATTAGCACTAGCTATTCCTACTGGGGTCCGCACACACACAGTCACTCATACGAAAACAACAAACAAATCATAATTTCATGGAATTCAAATGTCAATATGAAGTGAAAACCGAAATGATCATCCAGACCACAAAGTAACAAGTCTCTCTTGCAGTGAGGTGAAGCTGACCTTGCACTTGGTGCCAGTAAGGATGTTCCTCACGCAGGCTGAATGTTTCTCCCTCCTTACTGACACAGAAGCCCTTGATTTGCAATGCTTCACTAATTGTCATTTCCCTGGCTCCGTAGGGACACTTTACCTCCAGCACAGCGGAAGACCCTACCAGACCATCTGGAGATGCCACAAACCTGACTCATGGACCTGCATCTGGGTTGCAGTGGTGAATGCCCTGATGCCCTCACATTCATTCATAGTCCCCCACTGTACAGACAAAACACCATCAAGGGCCTGTTGTTGCCCTAGCACCCTGGCAATAAGGGAAGCAGTCACACGCTTTGACCTCAGGTCAGCTCCAAAGTTGCTGGCAGTCAACCTTCCTTTCCTGAACAAATGCCAGTTTGGGTTGGCTCGCTGACCAGTGTAGCCACCTGAATGGCCCTCTGTTGCTCCTCAGACAATGCCATGCTTGCCACAATTGCCTCACGTCCCTGATGCCCAACAGATTTGATAATTTCAGGAACAGTAAGTGTTTCCAAGCTGTAGTGTTCCTCTTCTGGCTCGGGGGAGAGAAGCCAAGAAATTCCTGAGAACCTGCCCCTGAGTCTGTCCCTCAGCCAGTCACGATCTTCGGAGGTGGGCTCTCTTGTCAGCGGGTTAAATGAGTTATTGGTTGGAGGAAATAGCTCCTCCACTGAATGCGTACGTTTAGCTGTCTTTGGCTTCTTCCACTGACAGGGGGTGTCAGTGCAGCTGAAATTGTGGAAGGCAAAGATGGCTAATGCAGCCGCATGACTGCATTTCCATTCTCCAGTGGGCATTCACATTTTGTGGAGAGAATTCCCTCTTCTCCTGTAGATACCTGTGGTGGGGGGATTGTTTTATTATTTAAAATATATTTACATTTGTAATGCCTTCCCAATTATCCCTTTAATTGTTTATAGCCTACTGTATGTTTATTTCATGGATATTTCTGTGTTTTCTGGTGTGTAATATTTGTAATAAAGATTTCATGCGACACATAAAATGGATTTGTTGATGGGAGTTAATGTCACTAATGTGAATAAATTAACTCTAGGTTAACGGTACTCTTGCTATCACTACTCACCGACACTATAAACCTTGTCCCTCGTGCTAGCCCTGACAACACCGGTAAGCACACCTTCATCTAGGCTGCACTTCTGTACGTGTCCTGACTTGTAGTGGTTCTCTCCTCTATCTACACTCTTCTTGTCATCTTTGTAAAATGATATCAGACTGGTAATTGACACAGCCATGACTTCTAGTGAAATTCAGTGTGGCTCAAATGAAAAGCTTTGTTAAAATATGCAAGCGAAAGTCAGTTGAAACGATCTAAAGTTGGCGTGATGTTGAAGTCGTGCGACCCTGCTGCTGTACTTTTTTGTAGTTAGTTTATAGCATAACGTTAGCATTTTGCATCTGGCGACTAGATTTATGATTCAAAAATTATAAAAGTAGGATAGACATGTGGATATTATCCGGCTGAACAAAACGTGATCCGTCTCTTAAATGTGTGTCAACCACAGACCTTATTTCGAGCTATTTTCCAAAATCCTATGGAGAAATTGCATTGCGTTTTTGACGAAGGAACCGGAAGGAGTTTACATCCGGGTTTTAGGATGCGTCACTGCGGTTCTCTATTTTAACCATCATTAAGCCAAACGTAAATATTACAAATAGTTGTAAATACCCACAGACCATTATACTTTATGATAAAGAGATGTTTCGCTTTCAACTTTTAAAAAGTACTTCTTCCTGAATAATATGGACTGACAATGAATTCCAGGTGAAAAAAAATCACTGAAACTAACAATATAAAATTCACTTCCAGTGGGAGAGTGAGATTGTAGCTTTTGCCGACCATTTACATGCACACAACATGTATGACGTACTAAAGGAAAGGGAAAACAAAAAAAGAATAATAGGGCCCCTTTAATAAATTAAGTTTTGTAAGTCAATGCATAACAGTGTTAAATAACAGCAATCTCCATGATGACCAACATAATGGTGATTATGGTTTTTGCCATGGTCAGCCCTACTTCTGGGTTTTCTTAACATGCCGACAACATCAGGTACTTCAATGTGCTGCAGAGCATCGCCACTCCCCATGCATTCAAGTCTTTCTACAGTTTGGTGATGCAGTGTTTCCTGTTGCTACGACTACGCGTGTGGTGCATTATCCTGTAGTAATTAGCTTTTGAAAATACGCTGCAGAAATCTCCTTATTGATGCCCCTCGGCTGAATTCAGATAAAAGCAGCACAGTTCCATCTGATAAGGTTTCCTGGTATTCTGTGGCATTTGGCTCGGCCTCTCCTGGCCACACCTGAGAGCCCTGCTGACTCATTCTCATTCATGTGTGCACATCTGCCCCGTCCCAGTCTCGTGGCTATGAACCCCATAAGAGAGCTGCGGCGGCCGGCAACGAGCGACGCGATTGGTCGGCTAGCTCAAGTGACATTTGCAGTTCAGCGGCGAAGGTTATCGTGTCTGCAGAACCTCACGTGTGGTGGGAGAAAAAAAAAATCGTATTTTCTCAGCTCCAGATATGAAAAGGTAACATTTGCTGGAGTGGTTTGTGGACGAGAGAGAGATATGGATCAGGAGGGAGAAGATGTGTCTGACATTCTAATATATGTTTGGTGATAAGAGAGCCGGGATGTGGCTAGGGAGAAAGAATTGCTATGATCTTGATGAAAGAAAAAACACCCTATTTCTCATGGAGTGGAGAGTGTGAGAGCACCTGGGAATAAACAGGCTGTGGTCACCTCCTTAGGTGGAGGCCGCCCTCAGCACAATCCATCTGGAATTACCTCACTGTGCAACACACTCCAGGCGAGGTGCAGACCGCCCTCCATTTTCACTGTGTTGTGAGTACATCTCACACACATACTGTACTAAATTGACTTCAATGCGGAAAGTATTTAGAGAAAAAATAATAATTCTTGAGATAGAAATGCATCACCTTGGTTTGCAGGAACTCTGTAATGTCACATTCATATTAGTAGAAATAATTTGTATATTAAATTATAATCAGAATACGTCATTTATTTTTAAGGACATTTTAGTTTTGGTGACATTTGCTGCATTTTAGAATAGAAATTAAAAG